CTGATGCAGGCTCCCAGAGCTCACTGAGGAGCTCGCGGGGATTTTGATTTTAGACTGAGGATCCTGGGCCCTTTCCAGAAATGTAAGGCCTCTTTGACTTTCTTTTATCCTAAGAACAAGACTTTGATATTTTTACGATCTAATAAATACCAAAAAGGTCTTTTAATTTTAGACAGATGCAGGATAATTTCCCCCACAGCCCCTGTTGCTTTGTTTAGTAACAAAACTCAAACCAGGGACACCAAAGGAATTTTCCGAGGAGTTTAAAAAGCACTTACTGGCAATCACCAGATTGCTATATAAATCATTACTACCCCAAACAACTGCTTCAGCTTGTCTGCCCCAGATAGTCAAAGTATGACTTCCTTAATGAAATGAAATCTAGTCTCCAAGTTTTCATCAAGAAACTCAATTATTTCACTGACAGTGCAAAAATGACTGCTTGGGTCCCCTAGCAGGGCACGGTCAGTAAACCGAGTGCCATGTATGGCTCCACCAGTGGTGGGAAGCCCAGCCCTTTCCTGGGTCTCCTCACTCATCTGTCAAACAGGCAGCAACTCTGAACTTTGCCCCACGGAGCGCCATTTCTATTATTTTTTTCCATTTACCTACCCGCACGATATATTTGTTAAATTAAAATGGGTTTCTCCCATTTTCACGAATCAAAGATTGTTACGATTGACAACCAGGGCTGCCGAACAGCCTGATAAAGGAGTGGCCACAGGCAGTCAGTCGCTCATGCTTCATACAGAAGGCACAGACCCCTCTCTGCATTATTTGGCTGAGTATCATTACTATTCAGGGGCAAACAGTTTCCACTAGGTTTTTGGAAAGAAACTGACAACAATGACCTCCACTATTACTCTGTGGGTCCTGTAGGGCTCCAGGACACTTACATCCCCCCCAAGACCCCTTTGGAACTTGGGAGACTAGGGTTTGCCTTCTTTGGCTTTCCCCTACACCAGCCTTCACCCTCTCTGGAAGGTGAAACATAAAATGAAGGTTGGGGCGCACAGGTGGTGCAGTCAGTTAAGCACCTGACTTCTGGTTTTGGCTCAGATCACGATCTCAGAATTGTGAGATGGAGCCCTGAGTCAGGCTCTGTGCTGAGCAGGGTGTCTGCTTGAGATTCTCTCTTCCTCTCCCTCTGCCCCTCCCACTCTGTTCATGCTCTCTTTCTCTCTCAAATAAGTAAATAAGTCTTAAAAAAAATAAATAAATAAGGAGCACCTGGGTGGCTCAGTCAGTTAAGCATCTGACTTCAGCTAGGGTCATCATGATCCCTTGATCCCTGGGATCAAGCCCGGCATGGGGCTCCCTGCTCAGTGGGAAGCCTGCTTCTCCCTCTCCTGCTCCCCCTCCTTGTGTTTCTTCTCTCGCCGTGTCTCCCTCTACCGAATAAATAAATAAATAAATAATCTTAAATAAAATAAGAAGGTGTGAACCTGAGGACTTCTTAGGGTCCTGTCAGCTCTGTTACTCTGGCTTGGCGAACACAGCTGCCTGAAGATGGCAGGAAAACAGTGACACACAGGCTTGCTGCAACTGCAGTTGCCTCCCAGGCAACCCCAGCGGTGTTGCTATGGCCAACGCAACCCTTCCAAGGGTAAAGGGCTCAGAGCCCATCTACCCAACGTTGTCACAGGAGCTACTGGTTATCAATAGTCAGCCTCCTGATCTTGAATCCTTCCCAGACCTCCAGAGGTCTGACAACTGTTCAGCTTGGCCCAAGAAAGCAGACGGCTCTCCCCTCTCCCATCTAGGTTTCTACAGACTGGGTCTCAAGACAATTCTCACTCAATAGGGCTGCAAGAGAAGACTACAATTAGCCTTCGAGACACCAAGAGGTGTTATGGGGAAGATCTTAGAGGCCATTGAGTCTAAGCATCTCTCACACACATGAGAAAAGTGAGGAGGCAGAGCAGAGCTGGAGCCAGACCTCCGCCTTCCCATCTCTCAATATACTCCACCTAATAAATGAAAGCTTGCTTTTCAAAAGTAGCATCCACCCAGAGTCAAGGCCAAACTGAGTGCTTTTCCTGCCCATTAGATCAGGTAAGGGCTTCTTTAAACAATGTATCCAGTACCATAGAGAAACTCCTTAAATGCCCTGTATCCTGCATTTGGGCACTTCCTACAGGTCACCGAGGACCATTCTGAGCTGTGGCACACGGACAGGCATGGACTTCGCTTCCCCGCTATGTCTGAAGAGCAGCACTGATGTGATAACGTGAAAAGTTGATGGATAAATCCTGCCCTTTTTGTTTTATAAAAGTTGGTGAAAAATGGACACTAAAGTCCTGATGCTACTGACGACACTGGTCTCCTAACCTGATACGACTAAAACAAGCCAGGAATCACAGGGTGTCCTCAAAGCCTCAGTGTGACCATCATGAGGCTCCATTCATTCATGCTACGTTCAATCATAAAGACTTAAATCCCCCATTATTTAAAAAAACGGGAAGGAAATGCTGGCATATGATACTGAACACTGCCACAAGGAGCAACAACCCCGGGCATCTTGTAAATGTTTTAGTTCTCCAGGACTGGCTCTTATCTCATTACCCAAAAAAGACTCTATGGCTTGGTATTTGCACATCTGAACTGCATATCCCCAATTACACACTAGCTGGGGATTACTTTTGGGTCAAAAAGGGCTAGTCTGAGGCAATCTAGAAAAAAGCTTAGTTTTTAGTACAAACTCCCACAGAAAGACCAATTGTAGGGTTTTCCTAAAGTCGGCTGTCCAGCTGTTTCTCAACAAAATGCTGTCACTTCCGGTTAAGAACTGAAAATATTTAGAATCTCTCCCTGAAAATTCAAAGTAAGTTCAGGATAGTCTAAGTGTCAATTTCTTCGGAACTGTTGATTGATCTAGCTCAGGGACTGGTGCCTCATCCACGCAAAAGCAAGCATCCTCCTCCCTATTTTCTCATTGGTGAATAAAAGTAACCAACACAATGAGGCATGAGACATCAGTAAGCCCCGTTTCCAACCTGCAATTTCGGGATCCCAGATGTAGCAAAGGAGGAGGGATGCATGTGAAGCTTTCAAATTCACTCCCCCAGGCGCCCCAGGGGCTAACCGAAACATCCTGTTTCTCGGCGGCTGCCTGGAGTTGTACCAACTCAGGGCGGAACCAGTGGCTCCTCGTGGTGCCCTAAGCCCTGGCCGCGGTGCGCGCCCCCCACCACAGCTAACAGAGTAAGCAAACCCCGAACGAGGAGGTGCACGGGGCGGAGTCAAACAGGCCCCGCCCCGCTCCTTCCTACGGGCCCCCCACCCGCGCGCGCGCCCGCCCACCGCGATGAATGGAGATGCGCGTTCCCGGCGCGCAGACCCGCCCCGAGGCTCCCGCTGGGCCGGAGCCGGAGGACGAGGACGCGCCGCGGGCTACCTCAGAGCCGATCATGTAGAACTCGCCATCGTCCTCCAGCTGGAACTTGACAGGCTTCTGCCCGAAGGTCTTGCTCAGCGCCATCATCATCATTGCGGCGGCGGAGGCGGGAGGCCAGGGCCGGGCTGCGAGGGATCAGGAGGACTGAGGAGGAGCCGGGGCGTGCCGAGCTGAGGAGAGCCGAGGCCGGGAGGCGACAAGCGGGCCGATCTGGTGCTCGTGCCGCCGCCGGAGTCCTCAGCCGCCGCCACCGCAGACGACGACCAGGCCGCCCTCAGTGCGCATGCGCGGGGCGTTGACGCTGACGCGCGCGCCGCCGCCGCCGCCCAAACAAAAGGCCGGGGCGCGCCCCCTCGGGCCCTTTAAAGGAACCATGACCCGTTTTTCCTCCAGGCTGCTTCCCAAGTAGAGGTACCCCGCAGAACTTCTCAGGGACAGAAATAGCAGCCGAGGCCCTGACTCAAGCGGTGGTTTTCCCAGCCTCACTGCTGGGAGTAGGACTCAGTTCAGTGGAGGAGGAGTGAAATGGGGCCTGAGGCCAGTAGGAGGCCAGAGCTATCTGTGCCTCAGTTTCCCCACCCAGAAAAACCCAGTGTAGTTGAGTAGATAAGAGGATCCTAGGAACACATACCCTATTTCCGGGCCCACAGCTGTTCCTGCGGCTGTGGAGATGGGTGGAATGACAACACTGGGTGGGGGAGTGGCATGGGCAAAGTTTCCCCAGGCTTGGCAGCATTCCAAGGCCCAGGTGGTATTTGGTTTGGCTGGCAAACTTCTCCATTCCTTCCTTAACTCTGCACTTTGTGACTACAACAGTCGCAGCTGTGGGGTGGTGAGCGAAACTCGATAGCCCTGGCCTGCAGAGCTTACAGCTGGGAGTGGAGCTAACACTGTTGAAAGCATCAAAGCATCCATGTGTCTGGCTGCACAATGCCGTAGGTCAAGAACAGCCCACCACTGACAATTTCACATGGTTCAGTCTAATACAATTGCAGCTGTGATAGGTGAGGCTGGCTGGCTGGGCAAGGGGACCCTTCAGAGTTGGGTGGGATCGGCTGTGCTAACCATTGAGTTTTGTTCTCAAAGACAGCAGTGCGAAACATAGTATTAGAGGAGAGGGGCTAGGGTGGGACAGGATCAGATAAAGTGACCACCACTTGGTGGAGGATGCCCCAAGGGGCCAGCGGGGAAGCCTGGAATCAATTGCAAAGCCACTCCAGGTGTCCAGCCAGACAAAATGAAGGAATGGAGCAAGAGGAGCCCTAGGCATTGCCTTGGTGCCCAAGGGCAGAAGCTTGGGTGGGTGCGTGGATGGAGTAGGCTGTGACCCTGGCTCCTAAGACAGGAGGCTCCCACCTCCCCAGCTCTTTTCCCCTCCTGGCCTCATAGTTACGGAAAGAACTCAGGCAGGCAAGTAGAAAATAACCATATTTAATGACAGTACTCAGTAGAAAAAAAAAAAAAGGCTTTGTACACACTGTACACACATTTACATGACTTCAGAGGGTCCCAGTGCTGGAATGAGGGCTGGGAAGGATCTAGCCCAAGCCAGGATTGAGGTATGTTGGGGCTTCCAGGGCCCAGGGTCTCCAGCAGGAACCCCCCCACCCCCCGCCTCAAGCTGACTCTGGACCTTTTGGCCTGGATCCTGGGGAACACATCACTAGGATCATCAGCTAGAAGGCAGCCAGTTCCAAACACCTACCCAGAGCTGACCTCTCAGGAAAAGGCAGAAGTCTCCCCCACCACATGAAAGCACCCCACAGGGACCTCACAGCAGGGACAGAATGAGGGCTTCAGCTCCCCAGCTCTGCTGAGGTGCTAACCTGAGGGACAGGGATGGAGACTGAGGGCAGCAGTGTTTGAATGTGACCTGCACAGGTTGGGTGGGGCTGGCCCAAGACCACTGTGACCCTCAAGTAACACCAGAGTCTCCTTGCCCAGTCTGAGACAGTTGCTGGCAGGTGACCATGACCTGCATGGCCCTCCCTGCACCCCAACCCCCCTGAGGAAACATGGGTTCCATCCTGTGCCTGTACCCACAGCCACAAAGATGGCCACTGGTCTCTACCCCAGACCAGTGGTCTGGCAGGGGTCAGGAGCCCTGAGAGCATCAAAGTCGAGGTTAGCGGAAAGTGTTGGCAGGCTCGGTACAGCCGAAGAAGTCAGGGCCCACAAGGCGGGGGAAGCCCTCCAAGGCCTTCACCTTCACAGGGTCGAACTTCCAATAGAGGCGACCGCGCAGAAAGTAGGCATAGCCTGAGGAGAGAGGAGGGTCAGGCTGGCATGGGTAGACACTGGCCCTGCACCTGCCAGTCAGAATGTGTCCAGGTCCAGGCAAAGGGGGAGGTCAGATTGCCAGGGCTTGACCACTGTTGCACTCCTTGAAACCTGCAGGTCCCAGCGTGGCCATTCCAGAACCTTCCATCCTTCAGAATCCTACCTTTCCCCAGGTCTGAGCTGGACTATTGTCCAGCTTCACAGATGCCTGGAGTCTCAGAAACTCAAACCCTATGTCTCAGGAAAGCAAGTCTCCCTCCCTTCCCCAGACACCACCGACCCACTCCCTGCCATGTCAGTCTATTCCTATACCTGCCAGTGACTATAGGCAGATGTCCTGAGGCAAGGTGTACCATATGGGTGACCCAGAGCCCCAGAGCCACCACAGGATAGCTCTGCCAGCAGGTCCCGAGGTAGGACAGCACAGAAGCAAGCTTGAGAGTACAGGGGAGAAAGTAGTGGAATGAACATCAGTCCTGCTCTAGTCCTTTGAGATTGTGGGAAGCCAGCCCGGTGGTTCCATGCTAAGCGGCAGGGACTGCCTGGGTGGGAGGCTTGGCTCCCCATGATCCACCTGAGAGGCCCAGTTAGGGACCTCATCACCTGAACCTCTGTTTGCCCCTCTGAAAACTGGCTTTGTAGAAAGTGTTAGGTCAGGGTGCCTGGGTGGCTCAGTGGGTTAAAGCCTCTGCCTTCAGCTCAGGTCATGATCCCAGGGTCCTGGGATTGAACCCCGAATCGGGCTCTCTGCTCAGCGGGGAGCCTGCTTCCCTTCCTCTCTATCTGCCTGCCTCTCTGCCTACTTGTGATCTCTGTGTCAAATAAATAAATAAACTCTTAAGAAAGAAAGAAAGGAAGGAAGTGTTGGGTCAGAGGGCTGGTCTGAGAACTGCAGGAGACACACCAGGAGTTTAGCACCGTGCCCAGAACATCATCAGTCCTCAGCTTGCAGCAGTTATTATTTTACGAATTATGACTCTGGCCCTCAGCTTCCCATCTGCAGCATGGGGGCAGAACAGTGCCCTGGCGCAAGGAGGAGGGTGGATGGGGAAAGCCCTGGACAGAGGACCTGCGATAAGGAGCTAATGCCCAGCCAACTGCTGTGGGGGAGGTGCGGCTCTGGCACCACCACTAGTACCAGCCAGCCACTCCACCCCAACGAACCATCAGCATCCCGGAAGGCGGCGTCGATCTCTGGGGGCACCCCTCGCCAGTCAGTGGCCCGGCGGGGCACAGGGCTGTCTACCCGGTGGGTGCTGAGGTGGAAGCGCCAGTAGTCTCCGCCTCCAAAGAAGTAGATCTTGTTCTTCTCAGGGCCCCAGGCCAAGGCGGCCTGGATGGGGGACCCCAGCAGGCCCAGCTCAGAGAGGGGTGCAGGGCCCAGGACTGGCTTCTCACCGTTGTACACCCAGTATTGAGCACCTGCGGGAGAGGGGAGGTTGCAGTGGAGCTGCCCGACGGCTGTGCCCGGCCAGTGTGGACCCACGTGGCCACCACCACCGCCACAGACCTTCCCCAGCCTCAGTTTCCTTGTCCATAGAACACTCAGGCCAGTAATCCCATTTGACACCCTTATACCCAGAGGGAAGTTAGAGCCAGTGGGGATAAGCTGAGGTGCTGCATGCTCTGGAGGTACCACGTGGGGAAGGTCCTTCTAAACAGGAAGGAGGCCTCCTGAGCTCCCACTCCTTCCCCTGGCATTTAGCTACCTGTGGCAAGCACTTCTGACCAGTTGCTGGGCCCCACCCTTGCCGCAGCAGGCTTGAGCCTCTGTGGCTGAAGTCCCTGCCACCTAGAATGTTCCAGGCTCCTGTCTCTCCCAGGTGAAAGTTACAGCACAGGGTCTGGGGTTGCCAGAACCAGATCGAATCCCTGCTCTGCCTTTTCTACACTGTGCCCTCAGGCGACACTGCCCCCCATCTATTCCCCAGGGACCTCATCTCTAGGGCAGGCATGCTAATCACCCATAACCACCCTCAGGGCACTCTGCCCTGTATGGCTGGCTGGCTGGCTGGCTGGCCCTCTCCTTGGCCATGATGCTCCCGGCTCCCAGAAGTCTCCTGAGCAGAAACTCCAGTCCCCCTCACCTTGGAAGAACCAGATGTGGCCCTGGGCATCTTCAAAGGCTGCATCCACGGGGCTGGGCAGTCCCTGCCAGTGGCGAGAAGCCAGCGCAGGGTAGCCAGGCTGCAGCCGGCCCCCACGCAACCGCCACACAAAGCCCGCCTTGAAGAAGAAGAGCTCACCACGGATGGTAGAGACCGCATCAAAGGTGGCCTCGCAGGCATCCGGAGGGGCTTCCGGCTGGTGTGGGAGAGAAGGGCTGAGAAAGAGCCTTCATCGGAACCATGGAGGGTGAAGGGAGCTGGGAACAGGGCCTCACCTCCAGCGGGGCAATCTCGTTAGTGTCCACCCCGGCCTGGGGGCCCACGGCTGGGGGCCTGGAGGTGGGGGCTGGCCGAGGTCGCCCGTAGAGGTGCTGGATGCCCCTGCGGTCATCTGGACTGAGGCTCAGCGGGTAGCGGAAGGTGTAGAAAGGGGACATAAGTGCCTTAGCAGCCGTCGTGTGCTGCAGCCCCAGCACATGGCCAAATTCATGGGCCGCCACCTGCAGAAGGTCTGTGCCTGGAAAAGGGAGATAGCCCAGCAATCCCCGAACTTCCTGCTGCAAGATACCCAGGCTCCAGAGCCCAGCTCAAGGACTTGTCCCCATTGGCTATGATCTTCACTTGCCCCGGCTGGAAAGCGGGTCCCTAGCCCATACCCTGGTTGTTCCCGATAGTCCAGGTCTCGTCATAGTCGAAGTGGACATCTCCTTCTCGGTGGGTCTTGGGGAAAAAGGCATGAGCCAGGATTCCCCCGGGCCCATCAAATGGCAGGTTGTCCCCATGCCAGTACCTGTGGGTGGGTGGGGCAGAGTCAGCTGCCGCTGATAGGTGGGGTGAGCTCCCCGTGGGTTCTCAGGCCACTGGTTCACCTGGTGAAGTCGATCGTGATGTCAGCGTGGCCCTCATGCACCTCGGTGAAGGTGAGTGGTGTCACCTCGCTCCACACCTGCAGGGCCTCTGCTACCGTCTGCCGCACCTGCTCCCGCACCAGCTGCCATGGGAACCGGAGGATCCTGGGGGGAGGAGGAGGGGCCTGGGCCTCGCTTGGGACAGCTCCCTGCTGGCTGATGGGCCAGGAGTTGCCCCTGGGTGCTCAGCGGGGAGGCATGCAGGAGGGACACAAGCCAGGTGTGCTCTGGGCCTCAGCTGCGGTCCCTCTTCCACAGGGCAACATCTTTGTAAGGGTTTGTATGTCCTTTGGTGCACACAGGTGTCTGCATTTGGTGGAAAGAACGCAGAACCAGGAGGAGCCCCAGGACCCACTTTCTAGACCTGACTGTGCAACTTGCTGTGGGGGGTCCCCAGCCCCTGGCCCCCATCTTGGTTTCAGTTCCCCACCCAGGACATTTCTGAGCTCTGATCTGTGTGACACCGTCATCCTTTACGTGCCTTCTGTCCCAGGGCAACTCCCCATGTCACTTGCAGGAGAAGCCTCAGCTTCTGCATCACTGCCCAGGTTACCTGTCCTGCTCGCTCACCACGGTTCCCACCCGCATGGACTCCAAGCTCTCATCATAGGTCTGAACAATGACATGGCTAATGCCTAGCTCCCCAAGAGGATAGGCCATGTCTCCTCCAACTACCGCAAAATCCCAGGGCCCGGCACTTTCTAGGTCCCCACTAGAGGTTGCCTGGGTGATGGAAGGCCACACCCCTGCATGTCAAGGGATCCACCAGCTGTAGCCTTTTCCAGTGTTGACAGAGCTACGGCCCCCTCCGCGGGCAGGCATGGCCATATAGAGTGCTGACTGTGTGTGCATCTAAGTTGGGGTTCAGAGAGTCGGTCCACGGATGACTCAGGGGTCAGTGGACCCAAAGATCTGTTAACCGCAGAGATCTAGCTCCAGCACGTGTGTCAAGAAGCAGAAGAGGGTGGCTGTTCCCACACAGACACGCAGGTTTGTGGAGACGTTTAGAATCTGCTTGCATGGCCACTGGCCCCTACCTGTAGGTGAGGTCCGTTTTTTCCCAGCGCCCGCCTGACAGCACAAACCGCTTTTGTCGGTTGCGGGCGCTCAACCCATCAGGCGGGTCAGGCACACCGCAGCGGGGGGGTCTGGGGCTGCTGGCAGGCGTGGGACTCTCCTGGGCAGTAGGGGCAGGTGCCAGGCTGCCGGGAGCTGCTTCATGCCAGGGCTGTGACCCCTTCCTCAGAGGGTGGCGGCGGTGTGCATCCTGGGCAGGAGATAGGACGGCAAGGCTTAATCAGTCCCTGGGTCCTCCCGGCCCATCAGCATACCCATGTGCAGCCCCAGCCCACTTTATGGATGGGCAAACTGAGGGCAAGGGGTACAAGTCATCGCACAGCAGGGCCCTTCGGCATGGACAGGTTCAGATTTGCTGAGATTTGTTCCAAGGCACCCTGCTGCCTTCCTGCCCTCTACGGGAGGGCCTGGGCTGCCTATCCAGCCCTCTGGGCCAGTAAGGTCTACTGACTACTACAGTAAGGCGCCTGACTCTCCACACTTACCCAGGAATAGATCTTACAAAGCTTTCAAGGAAAGGCCAGGAAAGCTCTTCCTGCTCCACCAACTGGCCCCCACTTTTTCTCTTTCCTTTCTTCCAGCCTACCACCTCTGCCCTCTCCAGTTAGGTGAATGGGCTCTGACACCCACCACCACCACTCCCCAGTGTGGAAGAGCTGTAGCCCTGCAGTGCAGACTTGATGTGCTCACCTGAAAAATGGGGAGAATACCTCCCCAGTGGCAATCCATGTGTGGGCAGGGGGAAACAGACCATTACCAGTTGCCCAGCCCCCACCTAACCCTGCCCTGCTGGAGCCCTGGCACCACAGATGGGCGTTGAATTCTAACCTGGAGCTCCCACCCTCTGCAACCTCCAGGGTCGGTCGGGGCAGGGGTAGGGGGGAGGTCACAGTTCTCATGCCTTAAAAACAGCAGAAGCTCCTGGAGGTTGGGAGACCCTTCAAGGTCACCCAGCAAGGGCGCAGCTGGGGCCAGGTACAGACTCTGGTGTCCCAGGCAGGAGGCAAAGGGGAGGCTAGCACAGAGCCATGCTGTTTGTTAGGGACTAAGTGTTAGGGCTGACAGGTCTGGGCGGGAGGCTGGGGCCTCCCCACAGCCATATTTGGGGTGGGAGCCAGGCCACCCAGGCTCCACCCTCGCCCTTAGCCTCTGGCAGCTCTCCCAGGCTCTAGGCGTCCCAGGACTCTGATCATTGTCCCAGCACCCCCAGTCTCCCAATTCCAGAGCTACCAATAATTCAGCCTCCCAGAACCACCCAGACTCAACCCCAAGAACACCCCATTAGGAAGGGGTTTTCTGACCCCAGAGGCCACAGCTACCTGGGGTATGAGAAGAAGCCTTTCTAATTTCAGACCAGCTTTCTAATTTCAGAGCTTGCTTCCTGAATGGTTGGTTAGTTCTCTGGCAGAGCCCAGCCTCACTGGCTTGTAGGTTTCCGTCACTCCTGGACTTATTGCTAGGTAAGTACTTCTCATTTGCAGTCCACCTGTATCTAGACTTGGACCCCGCCAACAGTTCACAGACATGCTCTTATCCCTGGGTGGGATCTCTCACTAACTCCACTGTCCTCATCGCCCATTTCTCAGATGAGAAAACAGAGCCCAGAGCAGTTAAGCAATTTGCCTAGGGAATAGCTGGCAGGTGGTAGGCTCTCTGTGCTCATAACCCACTCCCTACCTGCTACCTGGCTGTATTTTTCAAGCTGGAGCCACCCTTCCCCTGGAGGAGGGATCCAGGCTGGCCTCACCTTGGTGACAGTAGAGAAGGAGTGGGAAAATTATTAAGCACCTGCTACTTCCCAGGGCCCCCATCAGCTCACTGAACTCCACCCCAACACCCCCGGTAAGATGGGGAAGATACACATGCGAGGTCTCACGCTGCAGATGTGGATCCCAGGTCTGTGTGCATAGCCATTGGAGCCTGCCCCTTCTCTTCCCCATACTGCCCCCTTTAACTTTCTGGATAAACAGATTCCTTCCCCCAACCCTGGAACAGGCAAGACTGGGTTATTTCCTGGGAGCCTAGAGCCCAGAGCCCAGCCTATCAGGTCTCTTCACACCTCTGTTCAGAATTCTCTCATCTTCTCTGCCCTCCCGTGAGGCCTGGAGCAGCAGGCCATGGAGTGAGGGTGAGTAATGGACACACACACCATCCCTTCCTCTCTTGTCCTCATGAAGCTCTAGATCCGTGCCCAGACCCCTGGAACATGGTACTCTCAGTCCAACAGAAAGAGCCACAGTCTGAGATAGGCCCAGTGACATAGGCCCAGTCCTATGTCACGGTCACCCTGGAGGGAAGTCTCTTCCCTCTTTTAGCTGTGACTTCTCTGTCCGTTGAGGATGGCACCATAGCAGAGGGCTTTAAATAACCTTCTTCTATACTGCCTACTGTAGCCTCTTCCCTGGCCCAGCTCCTTGGCCCTGTGGGCCTTCCCCTCCCACACTTAGATATCTGCTCTCCCCAGCTGTGCTACAGCTCCCAGCACTCGCCCAGGGACCAGCTCCCCAAAAGTTCTCAGACCAAATCATAAACAGGAATTGCACCTAGCAGCAGGGAGCCTGCAGGCCCAGAGAAGAGGGACTGGTGCAGCATCTCCCCCAAAGCCAGAGGATCAGGCTCATTGTCCATGTCACACTCACTGGTGTTGGAGTGAGTGAGCAGGAGGTGCTAGAATCAAGGTTTCCTTTCCAGTATTTGGGGTTTGGAGCCCATCATTTAATGGCTCTTGGCTTCAGTTTCCCCATTACTGGAATGGGACACATGCTCCCTGACCTGCAGACCTCCCATACTTCATCTTTCTGAGTCTTTTCTGGCCCAGGGTCAGGCACCTTAACTGCAAGGCCTGGCACAAAGCCCCTTGCTGATCCCTAAGATTGGTGTGCTTCGTTCTTCTGAGGTTGCTGGGATTCAGTGAGGTGGGGTGGTAGGCACTGACCATGCCTGGCCTCATCTACACCCCTGGGAGGGTTGTGGAGCAGGCACCAGCACATTTCTCAGAGGAAGAAACAGAGCCCAGAGAGGTCAAGGACTTTGCTCAGGGTCACACAGCAAGTCAGAGAAGAGCTGGGCCTAGACCTGGGGCTCGTGACCCCTCCCCTCACGTCTTCAACTGTTGGCCTATCTCCAAAACCCACATTCCTGAGAAATATTTCTTTTTCTGATGCCTTCCCTTCTTTTCCTCAATCAGGAGCCTCTCCTGGGCTTGACATGTGGTGAGCACTGAGCTCACTCACCCCCGCCTTCCTCTTGGGGGCACCAAACCACAGCCTCAAACATACTTGAGGAACTTCTGAGGTGACTCCCTGTCCTGGCTGAGCTAGAGGCTTGGGGTCAGCACCTGGGTCAACTTCTAATCTAGAAAATGGGAGGCACCCCATAGAGGGGAGATAAAGGACCCCAAACCAAAAAACTGCTGGGTAAGACCGGGCTAGTTTTGCCCCTCTCTGAGTGTCAGTTTGCTATTGGTCCAAGGGGTCTTGTTAATAACAGCTCTGCCTTCTACAGTCAGCAGGAGGCGACCGTGATAGGAGGGCACGTGGTCAGACTGTGGGAAGGAATGGGGAGCATCACCACACCATTCTAAGGTGAGGCTCAGAGAGGTCAAGCAGCCCACCCAAGTCGTACACCAGGCAACAAGCAGGTCCCTCTACTGCCCGCCTCCCCCACTGGCTCCAGGAGGGAACATAGCATCAGAGCCACAGGGCTGCGGGGCTTTAATCAAGCCTAAAAGCTCCGAACTGAGATGGATAAATATTTACAGAGCTTTCCTGGCCCTGCCGACACGGCAGCCTGCAGATAAACACGGTGAAAGCGACCCCAAGTGCTCCCTGCATATCTGCGGAGTGATAGACAACAGCCCAGCTCAGACCCGGCCCTGACTGACCCTGCACGAGCGTCAAAGTGGCAGCCACAGGTGACAAGTGTGTGTCCAGCATGACTGGCTGTGCCCTCTCCTCCCATGACCTCATTTAATCCTAGGTGTCTGGCAGTGGGCACTGTTATCCACCCCCTCTCAACCAAGATGGAGGGATGGGGTCCAAAGACACAACAGGACTCACCTAGGGCACATGGTTCAAACCAGATCTCCAACTCCTGAATCCAGGGGCTACCCATAGGGATTCCAGACTGCCCCAAGCTCAAGGGGACTGGGAGGAGTTGGGGAAGAGGCAGAGCCTCCGGACTGAGGGGCCCCACCCTCCCTAACCTACCCATCCTATCCTCTTTTGTTCCCAGCCAGGATGGGGCAAGGCTGGCCAGGGCAGAGCTGGTGTGAGTGGACAGAGGGGGCCTGGCTGGTCAGATCTCCTGCCTAACCAGACCATCCCACAACTCCTGTCTGTCACACCTGCTAATGATTCCATCCCGGCCTGAGCTGTCTGGATGCCCCAGCTGAGGTCCAAGGGGCCTATGGGCCTGCAGTTGCCCTCACTCTGCCTGGCCACCCTTGTGAGTGGTCCTTTGAGGCTCCAGCTGGGCACACAGGCTCTCACACAACATCCCGTGACTGCCCTTCCTCTGGTCACTCTGCTGCCCTCTCACCCAGACTATCTTCTCTCCTAATCACACGTTCTTCTCTCTTCCCTTTCTCTCCCCATCCCCTTCCTTTCCGAGGGTTTCTGCTGCCCACTCTCGGCTCTTCTTTCTCTGTCGCATGCACGAACACACACACACACACCTTCCCTGGAGCTCTCACGCTCATTCTGTCCTGGTTTCACACCTCCCAAACTTGTAGGTGCCCAGGTGGTGCCACTTCTTCCGGGCTCAGACTCCATGTGCCACAGGGCAGTGCTGCCCTCCCAGCTCTTCCTTAATGCTCCAGCTCATTGCAGGGGTGTAGGTGTGCTCACAGAGGCCACACACCTGGAGGCTGACACCAGCCTGAGTCTTTGTCCCCGCAATGAATAGGAGGCCCTGTAACCACTCCCTCTGCTACCTGGCCCAGCACACAGCCCAGTATCTGCAGCTGCGGCCACCGAGGAGCAGGTCCCCACGCTGGGACCGGGAGTGCTAGTCTAGCGCAGTCTCGCCTCACCAGCCGGAGCGATCCCGGCACAGGCTCCACTTGCACACCTCCAGGGACTGAAAGCTCACTATCTTTCACGTTCACAGGAACCCAGAAAGCATTTCGGGTAATGGGCCTCTCCAGGCTACCCCAGACGCCCCCGTGGGTCCAGTTCGGCCCCTGGGCCCAGCCCGCGTGCCTGGCACCCCCTCGGAGAGGAGCGGCCGACCAGCGGCGGGCACTCACCAGGGGCCGCGGGGCCCGGGCCAGCAGCGGCGGCGGCGGGAGCAGCAACAGCAGCAGCGGGAGCAGGAGGGCGCGCAGGACCGCGCTGCGAAACCCGGCGGCCCGTGCCATCCGCCCCGGGGCTGCTGGGCCTGCTGGGCCGCGCCGGGCCACCGCCCCTTATAGCCTCTGCCCCGCCTCCGGCCCGCCCCGGCCCCGCCCCTCGTGCCTTTTGTTCTAAACTCTCCCCGCGGTGGCCGCCGCCAGGGTGGGGGAGGTGGACGAGGAGCGGCTGGCCCCGGGTGGGGCGGGGGGCCGGAGACCCAGTCCTTCCCGGGGTCGGGCGGAGCCTGAGGTCTCTGAGGCCCAGTGCTGGGTGACCCAAGCTAGCTGGTGCAACTCCGGGCCTCAGTTTCCCTGCTGTGCTATGGGGAGTCTGACAGAAGTTGGGTTTTACTCCTTCTGGTCCCTACCCCCCACCTTTGGAAGGCTTTCCCTAGCTGGTCTCCCTGGTGGCCTGACCTCTGACCTATTTCTAGCCTATGACAGGTGGTTGTTCCCATGGGCAAGTTCTACCCCTTACAGCCTTAGCTGATCCATCTGGAAGATGCCACAACAGCCCTTCTGATACCAGGATGTGTCTCAAGGGAAAATGAGGCATAAGGAGGAGGTTGGCCAGCCCCTCAGCTTGGAACAGAACTACAATTTATAAATGGGAAAACTGAGGGCCCAAGAGGAAGGGACCAGATCAGGCTTTCCCAGACCAGCAGGCAAGAGAAGGGGTGGGGAGGGAGGGTGCTATCAGCAGGCTGAGGTAGGTGGGGGGATGGTGTCTGAGTGGGGCACCAGCTGCCCAAGAGACTAACCTGTTCCACAGGGGCCCTAGGGGTCAGGCCCCTGAGATCTGAGAGAAAGGAGGTGAAAATCAAAGGAGAGGGTGGTGTCCATATTCTGGAAGGGACCCTCTGCTCTCATGACCTGGGGCCTCGTCACTTCACTAAGGCAATCTGCTCCATCATGGGCAACCATGTAGAGCCCAGACCCAGGCAGTGGCTCCCATCCTGCCAGGCAGGGTCCTGAGAATCTGCAAGGTGAGACTGTGGGCACCCAGTCTGGGCCGAGTAAGGGAAAGAGTCAAAGAGGGAGGGGGGGCAATTAGATCCACTCAACCCCTCCCTCCTGGTCCCTGTCCCTGGAGTCCTCATAGCCTCTCCAGGAAGGCTCCACAGAGACTCCTAGAGGGACAGGAGAGGAAAGAGAAGACAGACCTCAAGTGTTAGCAATCTATTTCTTTAAAGTGACTCACTTTTGCTTGGGGTGATTTCATCCTCCCTACAATCCTGGTGCCACAAGCCCTGTACTCACCTCCCACCCCACGGCACATGGGACAGTGATAGGGGAGGGTAAAGAAATCAGAGCTCCTCTCAGTCCAAGGGTAATAACATGGTCACCGAGAAATCACTCAGAAAAAAAAAAACAAAACAAAACATAAACCTCAAGTTCCTGAAGGGCTGGGAAGCGTTCTAAATCCACGCCTCCACCCTTCCCTTGGCCTGGAACCAAGGTAGTAAAATCCCGAGGCCACAGGATTCAAATGCCTCTGGGCACCTTTGGAATGGGCATGCTGCTTTTATGTCTCATAAACAATGTCAGTGTCCCGCGCTGCGTCCGTTTTGCGGGTTAGGGTGTCAGGCGGGGTGCTGGGCGAAACGGAGGGGGCGGTCATCCCACCCGAGGAGAGTACTGCAAAAGGCTTCGCAGGGTTGCCAGGCACTTGAACCAGGGAGTCGAAGAGGGGCTCCGGGCGCCCCCTGGCGGGAGCTCTGGAAAAGAATCCCGCCGGGCCTTCCTTTGGGTATTTCTTCCCAGCTGGGTTCCCCTCTATCCCCGCCGCCCGCCTCCCCGGCGGGGGACCCTGAGATCAAGTCGTAGTGGGTAAACCCTGTCGGTAGGAGGGGGACCAAAGCCTGGTCTGGCGCCTGGTGCCCCTCCCTTGCTGGTTCATCCGGTCACCTCCCTGTCTATTTCTTCCCTGGCGATCGGACAGCAACCAACTCCACTCCCTAGGCTCCGAGGTGGTGGATTTTTTTTTTTTTTTAAGATTTTATTTATTTATTTGACAGAGAGACAGCGAGAGGGGGAACACAAACGAGGGGAGTGGGAAAGGGAGAAGCAGACTTCCCGCCAAGCAGGAAGCCCGTTGTGGGACTCGATGCCAGGACCCTGGGATCATGACCCCAGCCAAAGGCAGACGCTTAAGGACTGAGCCACCCGGGTGCCCTCAGAGGTGGTTTTTGAAGGGACTTGGTCCATCACCGCGGGGTCAGCCCTCGGCACTTTGCAGCATTGGCCCGAGTCCCCAGTGCCCACACAGCTCGGGCCAGGCGCAGAGAGTGCAGGATAACACTGCCAGGTAAGAAGGGTGCTGAGACGAGGTGACGCTATAAGGGACAGGTCCCGGAGACCCGCGCGAAGGTGAGCACCGCCCCACTCTCAGCCACTCCCTCTGGAGGCGTATCCCCTAGGCTCCGCCCCCTTGCGCCCGCAGCGTTTAGCGGTGCCGCGTTCGTCCCCGAGCTAGAGCCGCTGTCACTGTCGCCGTCTCTGATTGCGCTTGGCTGCGTCTCACCGCCACCATCATGCCCCGGGGGAGCCGAAGTGCGACCGCCCGGCCAGCCAGGTGTGAGCGGGACAGGAGCGGTTGGGGAGGGGGCTAGGGAAACGTGGGCGCTCCCGCGCAAGGGCGCAATAGCTTGACCTTGGCGGCTGCTGCGCCATCTTGGTGGGGGGAGGGGCGGGGGTGCCGCCACCGCGTGTCTTAAGAGGGTGGTCGCCCACCCTCGGGGCGAAGAGGGGAGGAGGGGGAGGACGGGGTTCGTGTCCAGGAGCTGCGGGCCCCTGGGGTCCCAGTTCAGGGGTCCGGCCGCGATTAACCCTACTTAATTACCCCCGACCCCGCAGCCGCACTGTTCACCCGCCCGCGCACCCGCCGCCCTCGGCCCCTGCACCGGCCCCCGCCTCGTCGGGCCAGCCCGGCTTGATGGCGCAGATGGCGTCCACGGCCGCTGGGGTGGCCGTGGGCTCGGCTGTGGGACACGTCGTGGGTAGTGCCCTGACTGGAGCCTTCAGCGGGGGGAGCTCAGAACCCGCCCAGCCTGCCGCCCAGCAGGTGAGCAGCGGGCTCAGGAGAAACTGAGGCTGACTTCCCATAAGGCTCACACTAGTAGGAAGCTGCTGGAATGTCCAGCGAGAAGTGCTCTGGCACCTTCAGAGCTGCCTCAGGCCCAGGACTTTTCCAAGAAGGGTCTTATTCCTCTCTCTGCTTTTAGCCCCCTGTTGATCACAGGCAGGCTCTCCTAGCCCCTTTCCTGAGGCCAAGGTCCTTAGACTTCTAGGGACCAAGCAGCCTTTTAAAAATGGGGAAACCAAAGCCCTTAGCGATTCAGAGGGTGGCTCAAGGTAACCTAACCCTAGTGGAGGGCTGTTGAAGTTCTGAGCCTGGGCTCTCCCCATTCCCAGGTTCTGCCCTGTAGTCCCCGCATCCCAAGGGCAAGGGGTAGCCAGTAGCAGGTCTGAGCCCCATTTCCTGTTCACCGATGCCCTACTAGGCACCCCATTAGTCCTGAGCCAAATGTGGCTTAGTGGCAGGGTCAGGGGTCAAGAGGATTGCTTTGGCTGAGCCTGTAAGCTGCTAATACTTGTGGGGGTGGGGCTTATACGCCAAGAGTACAAGCACAACGCTTGGCTTTTCTAGAGCCTTCTCCCATCTCTCAGGCCCTGCCTACTCAGTGAGCCCATTATGAGGGAATTGGAAAATGCTGTCCATACCGGCACTAGCATCAGCTGAGTCGGTTTGAAAGGGCTGTGGGCTCCTGATTCTCAGAGCAGCTGGGGCTAGACAGGGCAGGCTGGCCCCTGAGTCACTCAGCCTACCAGGGAGCCCAGGGGCACCTGGGCTGGGGGTGTGGGGAGAGACTGGCGGCCCCCAGCGTTGGAGCCCACTTCTGGGTGCAACCTGGAGCCGACTTTGCTGCCTCCTGTGCCATACTCTAGGCTCCCACCCGGCCTGGCCCCCAGCCTCTGCAGATGGGGCCTTGTGCCTACGAGATCAAGCAGTTCCTGGACTGCTCCACCACTCAGAGTGACCTGTCCCTGTGTGAGGGCTTCAGCGAGGCCTTGAAGCAGTGCAAATACAACCACGGTGAGCGGGCAGCCCCTGACCCAGGCCGGAGTGGGAAGGACAGTCCCTCATGTTGTACCTGCAGGCTGACCACTGGCCCGTGCCACCCCTCTCTCTCTGCAGGTCTGAGCTCCCTGCCCTGAAGAGACAGGTGCAGACTGGTGCAGATCCATGAGCCAGCCCTGCACCCTCCCACCCATCCTCCCCTCTTCACCGACAGCTGGACCATGACGTCAGATTGTACCCACGTAGCTGGGATTGGGAGTGAGGAGGGGGTTTCTCACCCCGCAAATGACCGGAGACACAGATGTGCAATTAAAAGAGTTTATTTTAGAGTGTAGCCTGCCGTGTGCCCTCTCACTAGCCTGTCTACTGGGTAAGGTCAAAGAGCATCACCAGGCGTCCATCTGTACAGTTGAATTGCTTTACCTTAAGCTGACATTCTGGGTGGGGGCTGGGGAGGAGGGCTGTTGAAATCTGATGACCTTGGACAGTCCAGATAGGAGTGAGGCATTCGCCTGGACCCCCAAGGGCATCTGACTCTGGGGACTGGAATCTCTGGACAAGCCTGTTTGTTGTCTTCTGCTCTCAGGGCTGCTTGCTCTCCCTTAACTGTTGTCTCTGCCTCTGGATCCCTTTCTCTGCACCCACATTTTGGGGGCCACCCCCCCATGGTGCCCTCACAGCCACTCCATGACCTTGCCCCTCTGGCTGATGCAACTTCTTCGTAAGTCCAGATTCTGCAAGAAGAATGGCCCTGGGTGGCTCTTTGGGCCCGATCACATAGTAGAGGTCACGGCCAACCCCCTTGGATCGGAGTCCAGCTCAGCCACTTGGCTGTGATGTGCCAGATCACAGGACCTGCTGGAACAGACAAGCAGGCCCTGCACAGCCAAGGCAGACCTCACGATCACGTGCTCTGGGCTGCTGCCTTCATTGAGTGCATCAGCCCTGCCCTGAGCACCTACTGTGTGCTAGGCTCTGTTTGATATCTCCAGGCCACAGAGGATGTTCCTGAACTTGGGTATTCAGAGTCCAGTGGAGTGGTGGGGATGTCTTTCGGGCCAGTGTGTTCCACCTTGTTGGTATTTGTGTGTGTGTGCAGGGGATGGTGGTTGTGGTCTATTGGCACACATAAGCCTGTCCCCTGGGACTTTGGGTGTGAGCATCCCCCCAGGTGTCCGTGTCTCCTTACCTGGCCGGCTTCTGGCCCCAGCTAACGGGTCCTGGAGGGCAGGGAGCCCATCCTTCGTGACCTTGAAAGGGGACCTTGCTCCTGGTGCCCACGCCGAGTGCTCGTGCGCCTCTTCTGGCCATCACTTGCAGGGTGTAGGCCTGACAGGTGGCGAAGCTCCTCTGGAAGGCCCAGGAAGCCCTACCTATGGGTGCTGGGGAAAAGGTGCACCCTCCCCCTGGGGCTCAACCGTGACACTCACCTGCGAGCTCTGGATACTGGTCATCCAGGTTCTCCAGGAGGGACTCATAGCGGGTGGGGGCCCCACCCTCCCCCTCTGTGGAGGGAGGAAGACCAATTCCTGACCGGCCTGCTAGTCCACACCCCCACCTCACTCCGGACCTGTTTGCTGGGCCTGGCTGGGGCCGACAAAGCATTGGATAGAAAGGGTCAGGGCTAGGTCCTGGCCGAAGGTGGGCGGGGATGGCCAGGGCCTCAGGTGGTCTCGAATGCTGCCCCCCTCCCTCATTCCAACATAACTCCAGGGGGAGATCTTGGGCCCCACTTACTGAAGATCTGCACGAGGACATAGGTTCCACGCTCCTGTAGCAGGGGGCTGCCCATGGAAGGGGCCTGGGATGTCCCCTCCTCCAGTCCCTTATCCAGACTCACCAAGTGCCCATCCGCAGCCAGGAGGGCAATGATCGCTGGGAAGGCAGAAAGGGAGGCAAGGCAGGGCTGGCATCTCTGCCTGGGGGCCCTTAGCCCCTCCTCCCCAGCACCCCGCCCTGCCCCCTTACCATCCGGGGGCACCTGCCCCCTCTGCCTCAAGTGGGCTCTGAGGGTCACGGGGCTGCACCAGGTGTTCACCAGCTCCCAGCAGCCAGCTGTAGGGGTGGGCAGAGGTGAGTGCATGCGACCCCCTCCTTCCCCCAATCTGGGACCATCTGTCTCTCTTCCATCTCTTCTCTAACCAGAGCAGAGAATTGGGCTCCATTATTGAGCCTGTACCCTCCATCCATCTCTTGAGGTGTCAGTGACCAGGGCACACAGCTCCTGTCTCGAAGTGCTGCCTCTGCACAGGACCTCACCTCCTACCCCAGCCCCACCTGCCACTGGAAGTCGGGAAGTCTGCAGCTGTGGCCAGAGCTTTAGGTGCCTGATGAACCCTGAAGCGTGACCACTCACCGAATTAGAGATTGTGTAGTTCAACAACACACCCCATGGTGAGGTGGTGGTTGGTCCTCTAGAGGAGCCATGAGAATTTCCAGGACCCAGCCATCAGGATTGCCCCACAACGGGACTCCAAGCACTCTCTCTGCCTCCTTATAGAGCTGTTTCCCTAACCTTCCACCATCCTCTTACACAAGTGCATCCCCCTTCCCCACACTGCCTCCCTAATCTCCCCCAGGTCAGAGGGAAGCAAGCCTCTGAATGTACCACCCCTCTACCCATCTGTAGGGACAGGGGACCCCACTTACCTCCAAACATCACTTTGATAAACATGGCTGTAGGAGAGAGGAGACAGATGTGGGGGCTTTGATCCCCCAATCTGATTTTCCAGCTATGGAAGGATCTAGGGCTGAGATCTAATGGGGAGGATGGCACTGCCAGGAAATGTGTGTGTGTGTGTGGGAATGGGTGGGTGGATCCGGGCTTAGGTCCTTGCTTGGCCCCCCTTAGGTCTAGACTCCACCAGTCTAAAGGGGTTCCTTTGGCTTCCTCTTCCTCTTGCCCGCTGGTTCAGAGCAACCCGAGGAGACTGAGGCCCTCCCAGCTTCCAAGTTGGTCTCCATGGCAGTGGGAGCTGCCAAGTCATCTAGGCAGGAAATGCCTTCCCCCACCCCACAGTATCCCGGTAACAGGATCTGGTGCAGGAGTACAGGCACTCCCTAAGGCAGGGCTGCCATGGGGGTTCAAGGCTTGTGGTCCAGGGATGGCCCAAGACCACATCCCCCACCAGTAGAGAGAGAGACAGAGCTCCCAGGCTGAAAGCGGGGAGATTCCTGGATCAGGGCCCCTTGTCCTGGGAAAACTATGAGCAGGTAGGGCTATGGCCTGATGGAAGCAGGGAGATTCTCAGCACCCTTGTGATCCCCTACCTTCTCAAGGCCCCCTTCCCTGTCCTCACTTCCCTGCCCTCTCTGCCTTTCTCCTCACCTCCACCCTCCCCTCTCTTTCCTTCTGTCCTTGTTTCTCTCCTTGTTTGGGCAAGTTTCTTGAGCTATGATTTACATACAGTAAAATTCACTTTTTCGTGTTTTCGAGTTTTGACAAATCTCATAGAACCACCACCGCATTCGGGAGGCAGATCATTTCCCTCATCCCCAGCCCCCAAATTCCTTTATGCCCCCTTGTAGTCCGTGCCAGCCTCTGGCCACCACGGCTCTGTGTCCTGTCGCTGCCTTTTCCAGAATTGTGAAGGGAATCATGCAGCATGGAGCCTTTGGAGTCTGGTTTCTCTCACTCAGCATGCAAGTCACTCAACAGCTCATTCCCTCTTGCTTCTGAGGAGGGTCCCATTGTCGGGGTGTGCCTGTGTGTTGATCCATTCGCCTGCTATTGTTTGGATAGTTCTTAGTTTTTTGCATTTACGCATAAAGCCAGGAGAGACAGTGGCAGACAGGATATTGTGTTTCTCTGCCTCTGCATCCATGCCCATCCTTTCTTTGACTTTCTCTCCCCCTTTCTCTTCTCTTCATCATCTTCTTTCCTTCCTTCCCCTTAGCACCCTCTCTGTCTCTCGGTTTCTGTCTCCTGCCCCCCTCCATGAGCCCCTACCAGACCCCTTCAGCCAGAGTGCCAGGTAGGTGTCTGGAGCAGGCTTCCGACCTTTGCCAGCTCCCTTTCCCCAAGGTTTTAGAAATGCACCGCCCCCCTCACCCTCCACCAGGGTGATTAGGCTATATGTCCTACCCGCTGGGCCACTGACTCCGGAGGAGGACTGGATCCTCCGAGCAGCTCACCCAGCTCTCAGCTCAGTGCTCTGCCCCCGTGGGGGATGGGCAGTAAGAACACGGCTCAGCAGAGTCCTCGTGAGGATTAAACGTGGTAACTCTTTTCTCTTTTCCTTCCTTACCCCTTCCTTCCTTCCTTATTTCTCTTTCTTCCCTTCCTTCTCTTTTATTCTTTCTTTTTTTTTTTTTTAAGATTTTATTTCTTTATTTGACAGACATAGATCACGAGTAGGCAGAGAGGCAGGCAGAGAGAGGAGGAAGCAGGCTCCCTGCGGAGCAGAGAGCCCAATGCAGGGCTCGATCTCAGGAGCCTGGGATCATGACCTGAGCCGAAGGCAGAGGCTTTAACCCACTGAGCCACCCAGGCGCCCCTTTTCTTCTTTCTTTTCTGTTCTTTTATTTCATAGTAAACTCCACACCCAGTGTGGGGTTTGATCCCTGAGATTAAGAGTTGCATGCTCTACCGACTGAGCCAGCCAGGCGCCCCTTAAACAGGGTAACACTTTAAAATGCTACTTTGGCGGGGGTGGGGTGGGGGGTGGAACCTGGGTGGCTCAGTCGTTAAGCATCTGCCTTCAGCCCAACTCATGACCCCAGCGTTCTGGGATTGAGCCCCACATCAGGCTCCCTGGGAGCCCCCTTCTCCCTCTCCAGCTCCCCTGTGGCTTGTGTTCCCTCTCTACCTCTCTCTGTCACAAATAAAATCTTTAAAAAAATTATGTATTAAAAAAAGGGGTAGGGGCGCCTGGGTGGCTCAGTGGATTAAGCCGCTGCCTTCAGCTCAGGTCATAATCTCAGGGTCCTGGGATCGAGCCCCGCATCGGGCTCTCTGCTCAGAGGGGAGCCTGCTTCCCCCTCTCTCTCTGCCTGACTCTCTGCCTACTTGTGATATCTCTCTCTCTGTCAAAAAAAGAAATAAAATCTTAAAAAAAAAAAAAGTACTCAGAATGCCACAAGTGCTCAGAATGAGCACTGTGCCAACAAATAGTATTTTGCAGATTTATTTAAACACTGGACACCACTGTCCCTGGGGACCTGTGTCCGGCAGACCACAGGTCAGGAGGGGTGGCAACCAAATTCCAGAAGAATGTCCATGCAGAGCCCTGAAGCTCCAACAACCATCCTTCTTGTCTCAAGGGTTCATTTCCAGTGCTGCCATGAAGGAGTCTTTGAACTTGAGTGTCTTGGAGATGCCCTAAGGAGATGTTAGAGACAGAATGGGACCCGTTTGGGGAGGTGGGGCTTTATAACCTCCCCCAAGGGAGCTCTCAAGGCTTTGAGTTAATGAGAACGTGCTGTTTTAATTATATTTTTATAATTATTTAGGTATGCTAAGGCCAGCAGGCCAGGAGATTGCCTTTGAGAAAAGAGTTTGTTCCCCCAGATCTCTAGAGCATGGGGCATGCGGCACCACAGAGGGACACATAGGGAAGCACCCACTGGGTCAGCAGGCAGAAGGCGAGAGAGAGCCCTGTAGTTTCTTTATCTCTATTTTTTTTTTAAGATCTTATTTATTTATTTGACAGAGAGAGACACAATGAGAGAGAGAACACAAGCAGGGGGAGTGGGAGAGGGAGAAGCCGACTTCCCATGGAGCAGAGAGCCCAGGACCTGGGATCATGACTCCAGCCGAAGGCAGACGCTTAACCGACTGAGCCACCCAGGCATCTTGGTTGGCAAGTTAAAGGAGCTGACCATGTCAAGTGCTAGTGAGGATGTCTCCGGACTTCTCCCACCCGCTGACGGGGGTGCAAGATCTATACAACCCTGTTGGGAACACTAGTAGTTATCTACTAGAGATAAATGCGCATGTTCCCTCCACCCAGCAACTTCTGTCCTGGGTGTCTACCAGAAGAAATGAGAACACAGGTGCACCAGCAGTTTTATTTGTAATGGCTAAAGACTGGAAAGCACCCAATTGTCTATTAACAGGAGAATGGCAAAGGTATGGCTTTGCGGTGGTCTATCCACATACAACTATGAGAATGAATTAGACACCGCACACATATGGGTGATTCTTATAACGCTGAACAGAAGAAGGAGGAGCAACAGGAACACAGTGCCATTCCCTAGAGTTGGCGTTCTAGAGCAAGCAAAATTGATCTAAGTGATTTAAATCAGAATGATGGTTACCCTTGGGGTTAGAGAGCCTGTTACTGATGGGGAAGGCACATGAGGGAGCCTTCTGTGGAGATGGAAACATTCTAAATTGTCATCTGAGTAGAGGTTGCAGGGTATAAGTATAAATAAAATCATCAAGCCAGGGGTGCCTGGGTAGTACAGTCGGTCGAGTATTTGACCCTTAGTTGAGGCTCAGGTGATGGTTTCAGGGTCATGGGATTGAGCCCCACATCGGGCTCCACGCTCAGCATAGAATCAGCTTCTCCTCCCCCTGCTCCTCCCCTATTCTCTCTCTTTAAAATAAATAAATTAAAATATTAAGAAAATCATCAAGGCATACACTTAAAAATCTGTACACCTTACCCTACGTGATTTACACCTCAATAAAAAAGCATCTGTCCACTATAACTGCACGTGTATGTGTGGATTTCTGTTCTCAGGAGGCCCTGTGGGGCCAGGCCATCCACATTTGGAAAGATAGGGCCCGCCGTTGGGCCCCAGCCCCTGTACCCCCATGCCCCCACCCCCAGTCAATGGGCTGATTTGCATGCCTTGTCATGGTCCAGGGGCTTCCCCTGCTTGTGCTCTGAAGCACCTGGGACACTCCCAACAGAGCAACTCCTGTCTGCCTCCCTGCCTTTGGTCATGGCCTGCTGGCATCTGGCCCTCCTTCTGACTGGGACCCTCCTGTCTGGTAAGCTCCCCCAGGCTTGGCTCACCTGGGGTCGGGTGGGGGATGGCACGGGCTCCAAAAGGCCCCTGCAAGGAAACAAATCGATGTGGGCAGTGGGAGGGTTCTAGAAGGGGCATTAAGGTGGAGGGGAGAACTGGCTACAAATAACTGCCCTAGACTTGGGGCATGTCACTTCTCGGTGTGGGCCTCAGTTTCCCCATTTGTGAATGGGGAATGAGCAGATTATTAGCATCCCTTCAGATTCTGATTATTTGGGGTCTCAGAAGAGATTGGAATTGGTCAGTCACCTTTTTAGTTTTTCACGTGGGAAGCTACCCCAAGGGCCTCAAAGACAAACTATCCTTGACAAGATTCCCAGCAGCCAGTTGTCTGAGGTTGACCTGAAGGATGGGACAGCCCAGGAGGCTTCCAGGTGGTGGCAGTAGCCAGAGTCTGGAAGAGCCAGTGTGACTGGGGTAAGGAATGGGGGCTGGCAGAGAAGGACCCAGAGGCCACCAGTCCCACACTCTGAACTCTAGGTGCTCAACTGAACACAGATTCTTGGGAACATAGCACAAATGAGGACTTGGGGGTTGTCAGCCTTGTGCCCCACACATCTCAATTCCATGCACAGGTCTATGAGCCTTTCGGGAGTCAGAGTCTCCTTGGAGAGAGACCAAGCCTTTGTGGGGTGGGGACAGGAAGAAAGGAGCCCACGAGTCTCTCTCTCTCTCAGTCTCTCAGCCAGGCTTGCCCCAGCCAGATGCACTGCTGGTCTTTCCAGGCCAAGTGGCCCAACTCTCCTGCATGCTCAGCCCCCGCCATGCCACCATCGGGGAGTACGGCGTGTCTTGGTATCAGCAACGGGCAGGCAGTGCCCCCCGATACCTCCTCTACTACCGCTCAGAGGACAACTACCACCGGCCCCCTGACATCCCTGACCGCTTCTCGGCAGCCACAGACGCCGCCCACAATGCCTGCATCCTGACCATCAGCCCCGTGCAGCCTGAGGACGACGCAGATTATTACTGCTCTGTGGCTTACACATCCTAGGGGTGGAGCGTGGGCTTCTTGTCTGCCTCTCATTCCTGCACTCTGATCTTAGGCCCCCCTCTTTCTCCAAACCTTGAACTTTCTCCTCTGTAAAATGGGTTAACAATATTAAACATGTAAAAAAAAATAATATCAAGCACATGAACAGTAACTATTCTGAGGGCCATGAAATTCCTGCTGAAAAAGTGACTGGGAGTGTGGGGGTAGGGATTCTGGGGATTGTTACAGAAGAGGAAGCACCTGAGATCCTTGGGGCGGGGTCCAGCCTCTCCACTGGCCCCCAGGGGGCTTAGACTGGTGGCCTGGGCTTCCTGTGACCTGAGGAGCTGAAGGAAGAGAAAAAGGAACCAGCTCTTGCTGCTCCTAGCTCTGCATGGCTGGCTGTGGTTCAGCGCTCAAGGGGTGGCTGGACTGGGTCCTTATGGAGCCCCTGCTTACTCCTTGATGGGGCATGGAGGAGGTATGAGTATGTATGTGGGGTGGGGCCACTCGGAGGCACCCCAGAGCTCGGACAGAGGGTGCTCATTGCAGGTGGCAGCATCTCTATCTTTCTAAGTGTTTTATTTATTTATTTGACAGAAAGAGATCACAAGTAGGCAGAGCAGCAGGCCGAGGGAGAGGAAGAAGCAGGCTCCCCGCTGAGCAGGGAGTCTGATGTGGGACCCGATCCTACAACCCTGGCATCATGACCTGAGCTGAAGGCAGCCGCTTAACTGACTGAGCCACCCAGGTGCCCCTGGGCAGCATCTCTCCCATTAGGAATGTGTGTTCTATTGGTCATCAGTGGTAGGCCTGTGCCCCTCCCCCTAACCAGTTCTCCCACAGGCAGGGAAGGCTGTACCTGAGCAACTGGGCCGAGTGGGGGGCACTGGGTGGGGGAGCAATCCTTATTAGAAGCAGAGCTGAGCGTCTGGGTGTGTGGTGGAGGTTGAGAGGTGTTGGAGCGGGCTTCAAAAACACACTGTTCTTCCCTCCCGGTTCCTTTAAGAGGCGCCTATGTCTGGAGGTCATCCCTCACATGCACTGGAGTTCCGGGTCTCCAGGGTCCAGCCTCCACTCCCAGCTGTCTCCTGGGCCCTCACTCGGCCCCTTCTCGTCTGTCTCTGCTGGTACCAGCTCGCCAGGCAGGACCAGGGTTACCCAGGAAGGGTGAATCATGCAGGATCCCTGGGCCTGCGCGGGGTGACAGGCTCCACAGCTCTAGGAACCCCTTCCCTTCTCCCGAAGACCCCCGGCGCCCGCGTGGCCTCTGGCTCGCCCCCACCGCAGGGCAAGTGCAGCGGGAACTTGGCCGCCTGCCTGCGGCTCTACGCCAGCCCGCCCGCCCTTCCCGGCCTCAGTTGCCTCTTCTGCACTCCCGCCAACGGCTAACCAGCTGTCTCCCCCAAAACCAGGATTTGTTCTGGGAACCGCCCAGAGACCACCAGTCCCAGCCCTGGAACCTAGAGTCGTGGAGCCTAAGTTCGCGGACGCCAGGTGCCGCCGGAGCATCGAGACGTAGGGACCTCCACGCGGCCTAGAGCGGTCCCGGAAGTGCCCGCGGGTGGGGGGCGGGGCTTCGGGCGCTCTGGCCGCCGCGGGCTCCGCGTCCGCAGCTGCCTCTGAGCGAGGCCAGGTCGGCCGCGGGTTGGAGCAGCTCTGGTGCGGCCCCGCCCCGCCCGCCCGCGGCCCCGCCCCGGCCCAGGTGAGCGGCCCCGCCCCGGTCCAGGTGAGTGGCTCCGCATCAGCCAGTGTGACCACCTGTCTCCTCCGGTGGCCCTGGGTGTGGGCGTCCCCCATCGGTGGGAAGCCTGTAGGGGCTCCGCGTCGCCGCTCGAGCGGCGTGTGCATGTCCACAGCAGCCCGCGGGCCTCCAGCCAGGAAACCCTGACGGGACCGAGGGTCTCCCGGGTGCCCAGGCCCGGATGGCTCCCCGAAGCATAGGATGAGCATACAGGAGAAGCCGAGGAAGGCCTCGAGAGAGGTGGGAAGTTGGGGTTCCAGACCTTGGGATCTTCGGTCCCAAAATATTTAAGACATTGTTGAGGACAGATAAAGGATCGCCAACTTTGTAAAGAGCGTGGAGACTTAAGCATGTAGGTGGTCTATAGTGGGAATGGGAAACCCCTAAGGAGGGAACCTTGGAAACATCAGGATTTAACAGGTGGGTGGAAGAAGAGTTGTAATCACAGATGCCAAGAAAAAGGGATCGGAGAGCATTAAAACGGGGAGTGGGAGAAAGAACTTTCATAAATGAAGGGAATAAAGAAGGAGGTGGGAAAGGGGGTGGGGGTCTCAAAATCTTGAGGCGTTCAGGTATGCAAGGTGGGTTTAATGGCAGGGTAGACCCGTTTTATCACATCTTCCAGGTTTTCAAGAGAAAGCCTGAAACCTACAGAGTTTCCAATATTGGCAGCTAAGTCAAACAAAAAGAAGTTTCCAACTCTTTCCCGAGCCAAACAAAACGCGTCTGTGGCAAGATCCTCAGGCTGCCAATTTGCAACTTTTGAAATGAAGGGTTTTGAGAAGGGAGCTTTTGGTGAGCACTGCCAAAAGGGGTGGGAAAGTGAGGTCTGAGAAGAGAGGGATTGGCCATAAGGAGGTCACTGGATGGAAGAGCTGAAGATGCTGAAGTCCCAGCTGGAATTGGAAACTTGAAATTTGTCTCAGTGCAGTACACAGTCCTATGATTTTCTTTGGCAACATTTAACATCTTAGGAGGAATTGACAGAGAGCTTTGGTATTTGGTGGCTGGTTGCAGCAGGGCAAGGAGGTGAGGAACGTGATGCTGGTCAGTGTTTATGGTTCAATCCACAATGGAGTCTAAGCTAGACAGGAAAGGGTGGACTAGAAGTGGAGAGCCAAGATGAAATCAGTGGGTTGTTAGACCCAATGAGATCAATCTAGAGAACCTGGAGGATGGGAGATTCTGGTTGCTGAAGAAGAGGGGAAGGGGAGATAAGTGATCAAAGAATTTTTGAGAATACTTCAGTTCTGTGCTTTTTTTCCACACCTGGCCTTCGTATCGCCTGATTATTCGTTAAAAAAAAAATCGTTTCCAAATAAGAAAGAGTTCCATTGCGACTATGCTGATTAATTTAGTGTGTTTTTGAGCTGCTTGTCTATGCTTCAGTGTATTGCTAATAGTACCTTTGTATATAGAATTGTGAGGATTAAATGCACATGTGCTTATAGAAGGTCTAGTAGTGCCTAGCACATAGTAGATGCTCAATAAACACGAGCTATTATCGTTATGATTCCTGGGGTTTCCCTTCAGTTTGCACAGCAATTTGTTTCTTTTTTTTTTTTAAGATTTTATTTTTTATTTATTTGACAGAAAGAGAGAGATCACAAGTAGTCAAAGGGGCAGGCAGAGAAAGAGGGGGGAGCAGGCTCCCTGCTGAGCAGAGAGCCCGATACAGGGCTCGATCCCAGGACCCTGAGATCATGACCTGAGCTGAAGACAGGGGGTTAACCCACTGAGCCACCCAGGCGCCCCTTGCACAGCAATTTCTGAATGAGGTCCCGAGAGGCTCCCTCGGAGGCCACCACAGTGGGATGGGGGGGTGTTCTGGGATCCATCCACGTCCCTATGAAAACAACCCCCATTAACTGGAGCACCTCTGCTTTTATCTTTTATTTATTTGTATCTCCCAGATGATTTATTTGAATAGAGTTCTGTGCCCCCCTCCCCTCAAAAAAGTGTAGCCACCAGTTCTAGCAGGAAAACATGACTTTTCTTCCATTCAGTCATGTATTTATGCAACCACTGTGTGTGGAGATTGTCCTGTTGTGCTGGGGGCTGGGGGCTTCACGTTGAAGGAGCACAGTACTTGCCCCCAGGGAGCTCTCAGGCAGCATGTTTGCCATCCAGGGTTGTGAGTGCTTTGATGGACACGTGCACCGAGCTCTGCAGGTCCCTGAGCCTGAGATCACAAGACTTAGGGTGCAGAAAAAGGGACATTAAGACTGAGTCTGGGAAGATGAGCCAGTGGCAATCTGAGACGGGAGGGGAACCTGTTAGGAGGATGAAGCAGCAGCTAGGGCTATGTGGAAGGGGAGGCTGGAGCTGGGGCTGGGACGGCTAGCGCAAAGGGCTTTGTGAAGGCTTTGGGCTGCCTCGAGATCCTGAGGCGGATGATCGGGCCTGTGTTTGGGGTATTTGACGCTGGTGTCAAGGTAGAAAACAGACCTGAGGGAGGAGTAGAAGCTGGGGGTCGGTGGTCATTTGGGCGGTGAGCATTGAAGTGATCCTGGGGAATTGCATGAGGCCTGAGCTGCAGACTGACGGAGAGACAGAGACCTCTTAATAGAGCCTCAGGAAATGGACAGACTAGACGTATGGGGGGGGAGAGGGGGAATGTCTAGGCTGACTCCCAGAGTTGTGGCTTGGGCACCTGATTGGAGGGGCTGCAGCTAACCTAGTAGAGGAGGGAAGTTTGCACTCTCTCAAAAACTGCCATCGTCAAGATCCTCCATTAGCCAGAATCTTGCCCCCCTTTCTACAGTGGCTCCACTTCTGTTCTTGTCTACCTTTCTGAACACCTTCAGTCTTTAGATTCTAGATCCCATGGTATAGCACTTGATTCTGTCCATCTTCTTTGTAGTGTTTCTGATAAATCAGACTTGGCTCTAACTCAGTGGGGTTCATCTCAAGGGCCAGCTTGGATCTTATAGCTATTTCGTTTGGTCCACGATAGATTCTGGCACAGGCAGGAGGTACGTCCTAGGTGCCTGATCTGCAGACTTGACAATGTCCCTTGTTTTCTTCTCAGATTGGGAGAACAGTAAGTGCTCTTAAGAAGACGATCTTTCAAGAAATACAGTCATTGGGGGTGACACTAGATTCACAATGGAGGTTCCCCCAGCAGCCAAGTTTGGTGAGACCTTTGTGTTTGGGGACAGCTTAGAGATGCAGCAAGGACTCTTCCCAGAGGAGGACCTGGGGGACCCTTTTCTTCAGGAAAGAGGTTTAGAGCAAATGGCTGTTATTTATAAGGAGATCCCTCTCGGGGAGCAAGATGAGGAACATGACGATTATGAGGGCAATTTCAGCCTATGCTCAAGCCCTGTTCAGCATCAGAGTACCCCCCCGGTGAACAGACCCCAGGAT